AACCAAATAGCAGACGTAATAGTACATCTGTTATGGTATCAAAACAAAGTTTATCGAGGAAGGTTTAGTGTGATGACAACTTGTTTTTGAACGCATAAAGGTGGTTTAAACTTTCTAATTGCCAGCTAGAGCTTCCACAAACTTTAGAATACGCCCCAAACACGTTTTTTGGATAGGTTTAAAAGATCTGTTAACGTCAATTTTATGTCCTATCTCCTCTGTAATATGTTTCGCAATAGAGGAGCTAGGTCTCCTGTTCTCACCATTAATGCGTTCTGAAGATTCTATTTGTTTCTGAAGCCAATCCTTACTTACAGAGGTCGATGAGTCCTCCCTATGTATGTGTGTCCACACGTACATTCAAATTGGTAAATACAGTGGGATGTGACATCATTTTTCGCATGTTCAAAGGGCTTAGATGGTGGATATATTGGCTTCACATTCTCAATTATTATGATATTAGCTGCATAAAAAGTCTTTTTAACAGCAGCGTTCAGTCTTTGTCTAGTTATCAAGCTGCTATGATGCCCCATATAGGGTAGCTTGATGTATACGTCTTTCTAAGGGGCGAGTTGTGGAATGGGTCTTGGTGTTCTGACTACTTAAAATCTCCTGATGAACTTGTCTAGATAATTGTTATCAATCATAGTTTGTGTCAACTTTGTTTCTTCTTCATCAAGTGTGTCTTCAGTGCGTATTCATTGGATTCTATTGAAGTGGCACCTTACTAAGGCTCTTTTCTATCGAACAGGGCAGAAACTGTGGTAGTGAAGATACTGTCTTGTTCAGGTAGGTTTTCTATAAATTGACCGTTTTATTAACCCATCAAGCCGTCGACTAAGCATTGTGTCTCGGAAAGATAAAGAGTTATCTTCCTCTTCTACAGACGTAAGTGATATGCTATTCTGAACTTCATTCATTCGATTAAAAATTGAGGTTGCAGAATAAGACTTATCACTGATGATTACAATATCATCTACATACCTTCTATAAAGTGGCACATTTTCGATTAAATCCTCCAATAAACTCTTAATGTACGACATATAGATATCTGCTAGAAGGGGCCCTAATGGACTTCCCATAGCAACACCATCAACTTGGCGGAAACAATTGCCTTCAAATGTAAACCTAACATTGTTAATACATAGAAGTAATAAATCCCTTGAATAAGATATAGGGAATGGGATGAAAAAATTGTTTGTGGAAATATAATCACACAAAATGTCAACTGTTTTGAGTAAAAGCACATTAGTGAATAATGAGTTTACATCAAAAGAGTACATATTCTTATTCATAACTTGACCTATTTTCTCACCTCTTAACTATTTATTAACTTCATATATATATTCCTATGACAAGTCCGTGTGTGATCGATCGGATTGTTCGAAATGTGTTGCGCGAATACAACATTACACAATTCAGACAGATTACGTCTTTTTATTGCTTTGTCTAAATTAAATTAATAATCGTGAAATAAGTCCATTAATTCATAAAGAAGTGAACACAGTTTGTTTTGTTTTTTGTTCAGTGAAAAAATATCTCCTTTCAACGACTTCATTTTCAAGCTGTACAGGCGTAATAATATTGTTGGAAAAAAAGCATTAAGTGGCACTAGAAATTGCTCAGTCAATATTGCACATATGATATGCGTCGGTGGCACATTGGTTAGGACTCCCGCCGACCATGCACATGGTTCGGGGTTCGATCCCCTGCCGACGCACACCCGATATCAATGGTCGGCCTGCAAAATTGGGCTACCGATATCACATACGGTGTGGAATCAAGCTATAATCAAAAAAAATAAATAAAGATAATTAAAATGATGTACTAACAGAGTAGAGTTGAAGTGGATGAATTATAAAACTTTTTAAATATTATTAAATAAATGAAATTGGTATTAAGATTTTATCGATGTTAGGTCAAGTGTTGTTGTCTGGGAAAATTAAGGTGATAACACTAAAGATGGTGAAGGTGAAGTGGAATGAATTCAAGTGGTAAAATAGAATAAAATGGAAACAGAACATTACTGTGATCAAGGTTAAGAAAGGGGTTTAACAAAACGTTTTTGAACATATAATTTAGACTTTTGTTCATGTATATAGCTAGAGCTTCGGCTATGCATAAGTAGAGAGTACATAAGCTTTCAGAGTAGTTGAATTTTGTCCTGTAGATAGCTTTATAGGATAAATCACTTGGGACTGAATGACCTTTCTCCGTCCTATGCTCACTTTTCATTAACCACACCGGGCAGTGTTCAGCTACGCATTTACGGAGAACACGCTTACAATGTCCAATGCAGTCAGTTCTACAGAAGCATGTGAGTGGGTATGTGCACATAGAGGTGGACATAAGCGGTAGTGTATCCTTGACGAATTGTCGAATCATATTTCGGCTAGTAAATACTAAATGTAAGTCAGCTGCATAAAAGCAGTGTTTAGTCCATTCAGATAAACGACTTTTAATTACTTCAGCAATAGTGCCACCTTTGAACACCAACCTCATAAAGAACGTCTCCTTTACCTCTACAATTTTTCTCAGGACGGTTCCTTTCTTGATGTTCCTGTCAATAAACCTTCCAGAATATCCATTACGTAGGAGGGTTGTGCGAAGGTTTTCTAGTTCGATGTCGACCGTGTTTATAGAGCAGATTTTCCGAATTCTGGAGCATAGATAACGAATAAGATTTCTCTTCCTGCCTAGAGGTACCCAACTGTTGAAGTTAGCATACTGCCCTGTAAATGCTGGTTTTTGGTAAATCGGCCTTTTCAACGTGCCATCCTCTCTTCTATCTGGCATCACATCTAAGAAGTGAAATACGGAATTCGATTTTTCTTCGATAGTGAAAAGCATAGACGGGTGAGAGCTATTAAATTTTCCAGTAAGCCCAGCAGTTGAACAATCGTCATCACAAATAATGAAGGTGTCGTCGGTGTATCGCCTCACACTGTGGTTGTAAGGAATTACTCAGGAAGTTTAGAACATATTGAAAGATTAGAGATTTTGTGCAATAGATGCATGTTCGTTCAATTCTTAACTAGAGGTGAAACCATACAGTAAATTATGTTGAGGTGAGATGTAGAGTTTCCGAATATTAAAATAAAACAAATCACTCAATAAGGTTTTGATTTGGGGTTATTGATACATGTCTTACATAAACATGGCGAGCCACTGACTTCTTTGGAAGAGGTGGTCAGACCGAAACATCATATCAGTTCATACATTTTTTGACTGTTGGTCTGAATCGTGTAAGAAGGAAAAGGTTGTCTGGCTAGAGTCTTCGAATGTAGCAACTTCAATCGGCATACTTGTTTGGAAAGAATCTAAAGTTAGCCTTTTTGTAGGATATTGCTCATTTGTTTTCTAGTAATCATACTAACTTAAAGGACTGTTGCACCGTTCATGCAATTTCTAATTCCAATTCTGATTAAGTTATCCACCAATGTCAACTTCATTTTATATGAATTCTGAACAAATTTACATTGAACTGGTATGATGAAGTTTAACTATAACAGCCACCCTGATCGACTTTACCACTTATCTCAAACAACTAATCCGAATTAAGGAGCAACAAAAGTCTCAAAATTGTTTAGAAAAAAATGAATATAAATCATGTTGTTTTGAGATAGGCATATCGATTTTTCTATCCTTTTCTTTAATCTACCCCTAAATTCTACTCTTCCAAAAAGCCCAGCTATTCCGTCGGACTTCTTGCACATACGCACGTTTTGGTAACTCAAACTTATCCGAACTTGTTCACACATAAATCAACCCCCCAATTCTGAAGTCGTTAAGCGCGAATCCAAAACAACAGGCATACTTTTATTTGGTTATACCGCCTGTAACTCGAACTGATTATCAAAGGTTATGTGTGGAGGGTGGCTTCTATAGTTTAACTTCACTATATGCAGGAGAAAGTGGAGATGGATTGGACACTCGCTGAGGAGGCCGCTGGGTGACATCGCGCGTCAGACCAACTCTCGAGTGGAACCTGAAAGGGAAGCGGCGAATGGGACGTCCAAGGGTGACATGGAGGATATCGTGTGAAGAGGAGTTGAAACAGTATGGACTAACATGGATGCAGGTGAAAAGTACAGCAGAAGACAGAAGCACGTGGAGATGTGTAGTTGAAGCCCTATGTTTCTCTCTATTTATCCCTTTAAATTTCCGTATGGTAAAAGAGTAAACTAACCCTCGCCTAGTTTACTCGTTGCAATCGTCGAAGTATGTCTTTTCGAGACTGTAGTCAATATGGTTCGGTGATGCTGCCTCACACACACACCTACATTTTAACTGTTCTATCATGACAGGAGCTTCCTTAGTACATAATTAATGTTCTTTTTATTAAATAATATGAAGTTTCCAAAAAAAATCTAGAGAAAAATATCCATCTTTAATATCTTATGTATTAACTAATATATCTAACTCACACCACCCTCTTCACTCACAACTCTCCCCTTGCATCTCATCAGGTATAACCAGAAGCTAATATAGAAAACTATATGCTCGCACCAGCAAGTACTAAAACTCAACCATACCCTACTTAGCTCGTGTTCTGTGTGATAAAGAAAGCATTAGGCGTGACACCTATAATTCATTAAATAGTCAGTAGAACAACTGGATCTCGTCTTTCCAACTCACATCATCAATAAGTACAACATCTTCTTTCTTTCTTTTCCTTTTCTCTCTCTTCTTTTTCCGTTATGTGCTGCTTTGTCTCTTTCTCTCGCTTACGCCAGTTAATAAGACAGCTCCCACTTTTCTAACACCTTCAAACACTGTTTCAGCTTTACCTTTGCTACCGACATGCCAATATGTTGTTGTCATAATGAACTGAGATTTCCTTAATCTATGTAGAATTCTATTTATTGAAAATGTACTAACTGGATGCAATACTGTAGTAAAAATGCTGAGAATTCCATTCTGTATCACATGTACTGTTTTGGAATAAAGCAAATTATTATTATTATCTCTATACACTCTATGTATTCTTTTCTTTGCAGCTTACTAGTCAACATCCGTATATAGAAAAATACATTGGTGAACCGTATTCTTATCTAGTCGATATGGACAATGAGACACAAATACGCTCCACTGTTCAACGTATTCTTAGCAATATTAATGTAAGATAAAATTACTGTCATTTCATCATTGCTGTTTCATTATTTTTTGCGAATTCATTCACACTTTTACTTTCTTCTTCTTCTTTCTGGATTTCATCACAAGGTTAAACTATACTTTCGATTTATTTATTTATTTATTATTTAGGGTAGGTAGGGTAGTGTGTTTATTATTTCGTTGCTTAGTAAACATTGATTTATTTTGGCGTACTATCTATCTATCAATTGTAATTGTTTTCGCACAAACAAAAAGTATCGGTGAACATCATTGTATCTATTCGGCAAACGAGATTTCACAAGTTTCGAATATGGCATTCACACTGTAGAATTCACCATGCCTCTAATTTGCATATGCATATTATATATATATATATTGCATAATTGGCATAAGTTGGAATTCATGGACTGGCCGTTGGATCGGGTCCCAGTGGCCTAACAGTCTACGAGCTCGCCTCGTAACGAGAAAGTCCTGAGTTCGAACCCTGGTGGTGGGTGCGTACTACTGATGAGCCCCAGACTAGGGGAAAACAGCAGTCCAGTACCCCTTGGTTTTCCAGTGGTTCTCTAACTGACGTCAGCTCCTGATCAAACCTATAAATTTTTATACTCTATGTGTATGAGCTTATGATACTGTTGGATGATCACCCAAACTGAAATAAGTAAAACAGCTTTCGAACTTTATATTTTTACAGATCTCAATGAAATCCAAACAAGTAGTTCTAACATCGTGTTCAGCGAACTGATCCGACTTTCAGGGAAATAATCAAAATTAAAATATCAAAGGTATAAATTAGAAAAGTGTACATCTTATCTTTCAAAATTCTTATCCAATCATATCTGAGCAGTGAATAGTCATCAAAAATTTTAAAAAAATTGCATAAACATTGATCGAGGTTTGACCGGATAGTTCCACAAACTTTATTATTACTAGTCTATTTTGTTATACACCGCGTAAACACGGAGTGTACTTTTATATCAATCTTTAATAAAAATGTTCGAATTAAGGTCATTGTGACCTGGTGTATGTAGTAAATAAATTTGAATTAGAAAATAATTATGTGATATAGAATAATGTTTATGGCATATCATTTGTCAGCAGATTCAGTATAAAATAAAATAAAGTGACGTCAATGTTGGTTGCTGTTGTCAGTCATTGTGCACTATTAGCGGCGTAACAATAGAAGACAACGGCCAAGCAACAGATCCTATATTGAGGAAATCAAGGGGCATTTATATATTTTTATGTACATTATTATTCGTTGTTATTAGTAGGGAAACGGCGCCTTCTGATTGGTTGTTTTCTCTCTGAAAGTTATTCTGTCATCTCATGTGGCCATATATCTGCGAATCTTATCCGCCCACGCAAAGTCTGCTGTGATTGGTTGTTGAGTTAGTCTTTTTTCTTGTTCTTTTCTCATGACCAAGATTTGGGACGTAAACATTGACGTAAATTGCTGTCTACCAATTTTGGCTAGCAGACAGCTCTCACCACAGTAGTAGTTCAGCAGCAGAATGCTTGCCAACCACTCATGTGGTTTCGGAGGTTCGGTTCTCGGCTGACTGACTCCTAAACCTCACTTGACCGATGGTAGTAAGCCTAGTTAAGACGGTAGGTTGGGCATGAGGCCAGAAATCCCACCCTGTAAACAAGAAGGATAACACCACTGCTACTGAAATTTCAAAGCCTGAAGCCCTGTTTTGCACTTGGAACGCAAAGAAATAAAATATAACATAAATTGTGAGTCATTAGCTTTTGAATTACATGCATCCATAAAGAAAATATTGGTTATTCCAATACAGATAATCGGGATAATAAATTAGTCATGAAAATTAGTGAAACATATCTACTTTATTTATTAGTCAAAATTTGCTATGCATCATCAGCTAACGTCACAGAGTCCTGTCTATTCAAACCTCTAGGGTTCACCCATATACGTAGTGCCTCTGCAGTCAATCTTTCTTGATATGAACTAAAACGTTTCTCTTCAACCTCTTGGTCCTATCAAAAAGTGAAAGGTAGTTCATAAAACTGCAGATCCGTGTGATACGATGAGCTGATTGTAATATAAGTATCCGGTGTTAATTTTTGCCCCAAGACTGTTGAAAAGCAAATGAAGAACTTAGTGATACTATTTGGTTTTAAGTCAATTTTGACTTTCCAGTTGATGGATTGAACCAAAATTTTCAGCCTCTGTTGAAGTATCTTGGTTCCTAGTGCGAACGCTTTGACCGATGTCTGAGGATTAACATGTTGCCATTTGGTGAATGATGACTGTCAGTGGAACCCAGGACGCGCATTTCTATTCTACTTGAGACTCGTCATCTGGATGTGTCTGCAATTCCCAGTAAGTGATGGTGTCCTCGCTGGGACTCGAACCCAGAACGCATCGTTTCAGACTTCAGAGCATTATCCACTAGACCATTTGGGTCACGAGAACCACCTCTTGTTCAACGGGCATCAGTTATCATTTGTTTGAAGTCAATTTTCATTTTCTCGTTGATTAATTGGACTGTTCAGCCTCCTGGTTCATCAGCTTGGTGTCAATTTAATTCGATAGAAACTTATTTTATTTTTAGAGATTTGATCTTGTGTTATGCAAAAGGCTTTCTATAAACGTTTTTCTAATCACAAATAATTGATCACTGTGCAGCCTTTATATTTCTCTTGATAATTACCATCCACGAACCAACAGGTGTTTTTTTTTTAAATTTTGGTTGTATTGAAGAGGAGAACAAGACTAATAGGAATGCATACACCTCTGAACTGCTTCCAGTGTGCGTGTATGTGTGTGTGCAAGATTCTAAGTCATCGTTTCCTTGAAGTTATCACGACATTCCCAATGCTCATTGTAGGTACTATTTCCTGCTCTCTCTTTCAGTACATGACTAAATTCCAATCATTGAATCACAATCACAAATATTAAAATGTTATTAGTGCTTAGAATTATCAGTTTTGTTGTATAAAAATGTTAATATGATAACCAGAACCATTTAACTCTAACTGATGCGAACAGAATATTAACTGAAATTAGGGAAATTCCACAAAAATTCATGATCATTCAAACCTAGATGGCCAAGGTAATGATAATGTCTGAACTAACTTCTTTTGGATGCATAAATTAGGCTTGTTAATGTGGATCCCCACAGCCTCAGCAATATTTAGTAGTCAAACTCTTAAGGCAAAATTGAGATTCGTAGGGATGCCGTTGGCGGTACAATTAGGCGTGTTTCTCGTCGAATTTCCGAACATCACCCTGCGTGGTTAAGCAAAGGACAAACAAAATCTATTCGCAGCGCTATTCTGTCTCATCTTGTGGATACAGAACACAAGATTGACGTTAACTATGCTTTCAGGGTCATTTACCGCATTCCTACTAATCTCAATTTTGCCTTAAGAGTTTGACTACTAAATATTGCTGAGGCTGTGGGGAATCATATTAATAAGCCTAATTTATGCATCCAAAAGAAGTTAGTTCAGACATTATCACTATCTTGGCCATCCAGGTTTGAATGATCCTCAATTTGTTGTGGAAATTTCCCTAATTTTAGTTGATATTCTATTTGTTACTATATCTTTATTATTAAAATTGTTATTATAATTTAAGCATCTTTAATGAACTGTTATTCCACTGTGATCTTACTTTACAAATCGATATTATTTAAAAAAAACGCTAATATTGTTACTGACTACTAATCTAGAATATTCTATGTATATAAACATGCACATATATAATTGTAGAGCCAGAAGAGGAATTTATCGAAAAGGATATTCTTTGCTCGATTATTTTGTGTTTTATAGATGTCTGAATGAATATTTTTGCTATACTGTAGAATATAACGAATCCAGATCAAATACATTCATCTGAAGAGACGTATCCGATATACTTTACTCCGTTAAGTTGTGAATATCTAAACAGTAAAGTTACTCTCAAGAGTTAGACTGTAGAGATTCCATTTGTTGCAGGTTTCATCACGGATTTATATCATTTAGAGAACCATTGAAAACCATGGAGTACTGTACTGGAAAGCTGTTTCATCCTAGTTTTGTCCATTGAATTGGGTCGCAGTAGCTGAATGGTGTACGAACTTGCCTTGCAACCGAAAGGTCGTAGGTTCGACCCCCCCCCAGTGGGTGCATACTGCCGATAAGTCCCAAACTAGGATGGAAAACAGTTGTCCAGTACTTTCTGATTTTCAATGCTTCTCTAACCGATATCAATCCGCCGTCGAACTTGAAGTAAAGTTACTTTTAATACTGTGTTTATTGCATTTGGTTCGACAGTGGTTAACTTGAATTTATAACTAAGTTGTGTATACATACGTTACTACTATATACTTTGTTGATTATTGTTTTTATTTTTAAATATTGTTTCAGATTGAAAGTTATCGTCCTCACGAATATAGTCCATGGGGATTTCTTGAACGTCTCAACGCTTATCTAACACATCAAGATTTCTGCTCATCACCATTCTACCACAAGCTGATACAGTCTCCATTGCCTGTTGTCCAAATCAATCAGACTTCCTTATATAATTATTTAGATGTTCCTGGTGCTTCGGTTTCTTGGCCGCCTCCTTCAAGTCTAAAGATTGTCATTGGATCTCCAGGGAAATCTTGTGTAGATGTATGTGGAGAACTTCGAACTAATAAGTCGTCAATTTTTCCATCCTATAATCATTCTGCTAATGCTGATACACCGAAAAACCAACAAATATGGACTGATTATCTTTCCTATCGTTCTGTCTTTAGTACTCCTTCTCCTCCTCGGAAAACTTCTTATTTGGACAGACTTCACTGTACTCCAGAACATTTCACCAGTGTTAATAATCGTCTTAATCTACAGTATTTCGGTATTTCTTGTCATAATATTACTTATGCAGCTAGCCCAGTAGCACCATATTGGGATTGGGTTACAAATTCTTGTGTTTTCCAAGCTGACAATGAATGGTTTGATTGTGTTAGCTCTACAAATGTCAGAGGAACCAAAGAGTTTTCACGTTTCTGTCCTTGCCGTGATGCACTGCCTAATCAGATCTCCATGTGTACTGATTGTTTATAAGAGTATAGAATTTTTTTTTCCTTTTTTTTCTTACTTTGTCAGATTCTAAATTTATACGCTTTTGTTTTCTTCTTATGATGACTACTTTAGTGATCAGTTTGTTTTACTTTTTAACAGTCGTCTGGTTTTTTTTAATATTACCTACCTTTCTTTATCGTTGGTTGTACATAGATTTCACTATTTATTTTATATTTCTGTAACTTTATGGTACTTTTTTTCAGTTTTACCCCTGTAAACAGTTTATCCTCTAATTAGAACAGATAATATTCTCTTTGTAGATGCGCCATACCTAGTCGTGCTTTAACAAAATTTACAAGTATTACTTTTCTCATCACAAAAACTGTGGTGTGTTTGACGAATTAATTTTAAAAGTATTATTTGGATAATATCTATTCATTTGTACATAATATCCTCGAAATATAATATATATATATACTTATAGACAAGCATTTTCACAATAAACTGGGTTAATTGGTGGATGGTGACTAGCAGTGGAATCCAGGATGTGCATTTCGTCCTATTTCCTACTCGTCAGCTGGATGTACCTGCAATTCTAAGTGAATGATGATGTTCCCACCGAGGTTCGAACCGAATGCACATAGTTTCAAACGCCAAAGCGTTATCCACTAGACCACTTGGGCCACGAGAGCCACCTCTTGTGCAACGGGTCATATTGATTTAATTTAATTTTGGATTTTCCCATCGACTGATTGGACCGAAGTGCTCGGTCTCAGGTTAACATGTCGGCCTCTTGTGCAGATGCTTCAACGATGTCTGGGCATGTAATTAGAATTTAATTGGTGGATGGAGAGTAGCAGTGGAATCCAGAATGTGCATTTCGTCCTATTTCCTACTCGTCCGCTGGATGTACCTGCACTTCTCAGTGAGTGATGATGTTCCCACCGAGGTTCGAACCCAGTGCACATAGTTTCAAACCATAAACTGGATTAGGTTATAAAATTCCCTGATTTTCAAACTTGGACAACTTTATCAACGGAAAGTCTAATCCTTATTGAACAACTCTGTCTGTCTAGAGGCCCTTCAACTATCAGGAGCATCCTTCTGCATATATTCTTGTTGCAGTAACTGATTCGATTTTGTACTTACACAGGTGAATCACTCGTCGAAAGCAATAGTTAGCAGTTTAGCATTTGCTACGAGGTTTGTTTACTGGGTGTTTAACTAACAACTGTGCTATTTCCATTGACATTGTAATGCATTATATTATTTTGTGAACACCTCCCACTACCAGCTTAGTTTATTTGCCTCCATTTCTCAGCAATTGTCTCAAAGCATAGTTTAAATTCAGAACAAGATTAGTTTGAGCGATTAATCAATTTTACTCATATCTTCTTCATCAAGCTTTATTATTATTTCCTTTAATTCCTAGAGGAACATAAGGGTTTGGCCGTGCGTTTCCATTGCGTTCGGTTCTCTGCTAGAGTCTTCACCTGGCTCCAAGTCTGCCCACACGTTTTCATCTCCTCTTCACATGACCTCCTACAAGTCACTCTTGCACTGACGACCAACTCGCTGCTTCCCTTTCGGGTTCCACTCGAGCAATGGCTTGTCTAGTGATGTCACTTGATGTTTTGTTTTCTCAGAGTATGGCCAATCCATCTCCATTTCTTCCTGCATATTTATTTCACAATCGGTTCCTGCTGTGTTGGTTCGCTCCCAGAGATCTCTGTTGCTGGTCTTTTCTGGCCATCTGATCTTGAGCGGAGTATTGAGTGAAGACAACTGTTAATGAAGGTCTGTTGTTTGTTTGAGGTGCTCTTTATGACACGCAGTGCAAGTCTCTGATCCGTATAGTAGCACTGATTGACTTCACATTGGAGTTGAAAATCCGGATCTTATTTTTGATGCTGAGTGCTGTTGACCTCCACACAGACTTGAGAGTAATGAAAGCTTGTCTTACTATTCTGATTCTTGCTTTGATATCCTCGTCAGTTCCGTCCGCCTGTAGTTGAAACGATGCTTCCCAGGTAGGTAAAAGAGGTTGTTTCTTTCAGGTTCCTTCCATTTGTGATGATCGTTGTCTGTTGTTGTTGTTCTTGTCCAGGAATCTTCATCATCACCTTTGTTTTCTCTATGTTCACCTGAAGTCCCATCTTTGATGCTTCTTCTGTCAATTTGTTGCTAATCGAAATACTTCGGTACACCTGTATTTGGATAAGGATACAAGATGGAATAATAGTCTTTTCGTTAACATTGTCAATCAAGTGCATAAAAAATGGAGAGTTTTTAAGAACAAAACTTAAAGTGTGAATAAGTAATCAGGTGACCTCCTTGTGTATTTGTAATCACTCATTTAAGGGAAATATAAATAAAATGATTTGAAGCAAACAATTGTTGTTTCGATAAATTCTTCTTCAGGCTCTACAATCATAAATCCATGAATATTATAATACAAATAGACATCAAACTCTAGTGAAAATTATATCAGGGGTACATGTATAATATGGAGTGATAGTGTTCTTTATTTAATATTGTCAAATGAACGTATATAATTAAGTGTGCAGTCATTCAGAACATAAGATAAAGTGTGAATGGACAAAAAGGCGACATACTAATGTTTCCATAGTCAACAGAATGTAAGTTTCATCGAGAGTTGGAGATGAGTTATCTTCAATAGTTTGCTAGGAAAATGATTATCACAAAATACATACAAACAAATACCACAAAATGGGGAACACTGAATGTTAGTTCAAGCAAGTGCTGACAGACTTCCAGTATAGTGATAAAATAAAGTGGTTAAACTGTGAACTGTAATATAATACTAGAAACATAATAAGCTTAGTGTAAATTACAGAAGGTTGACACATAATAAAGGTAATAATAGAGTGAAGTGAACTAGGTGGAAAGGAATAAGAAGGCATAATATGACATGAAAATATGGATGATTATGTCCCTGCTGACCTTATAGTAGGCCAGAGTAAACAAAGAGGATGCATGAGCTTCTTTTACACACATAAGTCAGGATTTTTCTTAGTAATCTCTATATCTTCCGCTACAGCTACGTGACGTAATCGTGTACCTTTTGGGTAGATTGTTTTGTACTCCATATACAACCGTAAATGACTCATCTATTTATTGATTTGGTTACACTTTTTTAAGCCAAATAGGAACATGATGACGAGCGCGTAAGGATAACTTCCTCCGAGTTCGACTAGCTCCACATGAGCAGTTGAACTTGTATACACACATTGATATGGCCATCTTTGGTAATTTGTCATTGGTGCACTGTGTCAGTAACGGTCTAGTTGAGAAACTGATGTGCATTTCAGCAGTATTAAAAGTTATTTTTCAACTGATCTGATCAACCTAAGACTATGTCACCTCTGAACTGTACTCTTAAATAAAGCTTTTTCCTATTCACCCTGTCACACTTAATTTTGTCGGTTCTTTTGGAAATATACTTCCTTACAAAATTGGTATGATAACCATTTTGTAGCAGGGTATTTTCAAGATTTTCGATTTCGTCTCCAATACATATACGCCTAAATCTATTACTAAGACACCGCATCAAGTTCCGTCTATGGTGTACGGGTATTAAATTATGGAAATGGATATATTGTCTGTCCCATGCCGCTTTTCTCTAGGTGTTTCGCTTTAATGTGCCGTCTGGCCTTTCGTTAGGAAAAACATCCAAAAAGAAATACTTCCTTGATATTCTTCATCGCAACTGAATTTAATTGCCGGGTGCACATTAATAATGACCTGCATCAAATGTTGTTTATCCAAATTATTGTCACAAACGATGAATGTATCGTCTACATAACGGCAATAATATTAAGGTTTGTTTAACACCTCTCTTAGAAAATCATTTTCTAATTTAGCTAGGAAAATGTCAGCTAATAAAGGACCTAGATGGGAACTCATAGCAACCCCACCTATTTTATGGTAAAACTCCTTGCTAAATACAAAATGAACATTCATAAAGAATTTAAGTAACAATTCCTTCAATTTCATACGTGTGATCCCCATATCTGTTTTTCTCTTTACAACTTGTTCGCATATATAATCGACTGTTTCAACCAGGGGACATTGGTAAATAGTGACGTTACATCCAACGACAACATGGCTTTGTCCGCTATGTTCACATCCTTAATGTTGTCAGCAAAAGCAAAGACATATTTTACACTATATTTAACCAACTCCCGATGTAGCGGCTTAAGCAGATTTACTGGCCATTTAGCTGTTAAATGAAATGGCGAATTTGACATCAAGAATGGGACCAAATCAATAAAATAGTGCCATTTTGTTTCATCTAGTAGATAATGATCACCACATTAAAATAGATGAGTCATTTACGGTTGTATATGGAGTACAAAACAATCTACCCAAAAGGTACACGATTACGTCACGTAGCTGTAGCGGAAGATATAGAGATTACTAAGAAAAATCCTGACTTATGTGTGTAAAAGAAGCTCATGCATCCTCTTTGTTTACTCTGGCCTACTATAAGGTCAGCAGGGACATAATCATCCATATTTTCATGTCATATTATGCCTTCTTATTCCTTTTCACCTAGTTCACTTCACTCTATTATTACCTTTATTATGTGTCAACCTTCTGTAATTTACACTAAGCTTATTATGTTTCCAGTATTTTATTACAGTTCACAATTTAACCTCTTTATTTTATCACTACACTTGATATCTGTCAGCACTTGCTTGAACTAACATTCAGTGTTCCCCATTTTGTGGTATTTGTTTGTGTGTATTTTGTGGTAATCACTTTCCTCGCAAACCATTGAACATAACCCATCCCCAACCTCCCAATGAAACTTACATTCTGTTGACTATGAAAACATTAGTATGTCGCCCTTTTGTCTATTCACACTTTATCTTATGTTCTGAATGACTGCACGCTTTCTATACGTTCATTTGACAATATTAAATAACGAACACTATCACTCCATATTATACATGTACCCCATTACAGACAGGCTCCGATATAATTTTCACTTGCGTTTAATGGCTATTTGTATTATAATATTCATGGATATATGACTGTAGAGCTTGAAGAAGGATTTGTCGAAAACAGTTGTGATATCATTTGACAGTCTCCTCAGCGTATGGCCAATCCATCTCCATTTTCTTGGTTAGTTTGTTCCCATAGTTCCCTGGTGCTAATTATTTCCAGCCGGCCATTTGATCTTCAGTTAACAGAGAATGCAACTGTGATGCGCAGTGCAAGTTTCTGATTCAAATCGAGGAAATGACTGACTTAACATTTGTGTTGGAATTCAGAATCTTGTTCTTTACGTTGACTACAGTATATTTCCAAACCGATTCCAGAATGATGCAATTGTATCTTGCCTTTCGGATTCTATGTCAGTA